CTTCTCCCTAAGAGACGTTTACTTTTTTTTATTATTACAGCCACAATCATGTTGCAATTTGAGTTCCTCATATGGGCTGCACAAATTTAAATGCACCTGTCTTGAAGGGATCATAGCATTCTAGAGTTGTAAGGGACCTTGTGGGTCATGTAGGAATGTCAAGAAATATACTCGGAGTTGAGAGTGGATTTCATGCTCTTTATTCAGCTCATAGTGGTGAGGAGGAATGGAAGTTTCCCCAGAATGTCTGCTTTATATACATTATTTACACAATGGGCTGCACGTGATTGGCTAATTCCGGAATTCTCCTGTAGGCCAATCAGGTTGTGGATTCACTTCCATCTGGAGCTGGATTGGGTGGCTCCTACAGACCAATCATACTGCTGCATTGTTCTAGGACCAATCAGACTGCTGCATTCTGAATCCTATTGTTCTAGGACCAATCAGACTGCTGCATTTTGGATCCTATTGTTCTAGGACCAATCAGACTGCTGCATTTTGGATCCTATTGTTCTAGGACCAATCAGACTGCTGCCTTTTGGATCCTATTCAGCTCAGTACATAACAGTCAACTAAAGGATCCATGACAGCCATCCAACCTCTGCTTAAAAACCTCCAAGGAAGGAGAGTCCACTGCCTGTCATGGGAATCTGTTTCACTGTTGAGCAGCTCTTACTGTCAGAAAGTTCATCCTGACGTTGAGTTTGAATTTCCTTCCTTGTAACTTGAATCCATTGGTTCGGGTCCTAGCCTCTAGAGCAAGCTAAACATTCCCAACTCCCTCAATTGTTTCTCTATGAGGCTTGGTTCCAAGACCCTTGATTTTCTTGGTTGCTCTCCTCTCTGCATGTTCCAGCTTATCAATATTCTTAAAGTGTGGTGCGCAGAACTGGACACCGCGACAGGTGTGGTTTTACCAAGGCGGAACAGAGCGGTACTATGACTTCCCTTGATCTTGACACTAGCTTTTTTTTAGCATTAGCATTAGCTTTTTTTTTTTTTTTTTTGCTGCTGCATCACACTGTTGACCAGGCTTCCTCAACCTCGGCCCTCCAGATGTTTTGAGACTACAATTCCCATCATCCCTGACCACTGGTCCTGCTAGCTAGGGATCAAGGGAGTTGTAGGCCAAAACATCTGGAGGGCTGAGGTTGAGGAAGCCTGCTGTTGACTCATATTAAGCTTGTCTACTAAGACTCCTAGATCCTTTTCACACATACTACTGGAAGCCAGATGGGCCTGTCTTATATTTCACAGAATTGTGGAATTGTAGACTTGGAAGTGACCATGAGGATCATCAAGTCCAGCTCCCTGCAATGAATGAATATTTTGCCCAACGTGGGGCTTGAACCCACAACCCTGAGATTAAAAGTTGCATGCTCTACATTTATGCAGCTGGTTCTTCCTGCCTAAAGATGTCCTGCAAGGCAGCAGGTCTGGATTTTTCCTTGGGGGTTTATTTCCGAAGCCGCCTAATGTATGAGTAGAGCTGCAAAGCAGTGGAGGTTTAGGATGCGAGTCTTCCTTCTAGATGAGTGCAAAACAACTACTACTACTTCTGTTTTTGTAATAATGTGAAGTTTCAATGAGCCTGTTGACAAGATCCATTAAAAAAGCAACAGTACCAAAAGGAAATATTGTGAAATTAAGGATTTGGGGTGGGGGCAATTTATGGTCCTCCCTCAAAGCGCCAGCAAAGCTGGTGGGGCTTCCCTCTGGCTAAATTCTGCAAACATACGAGGTCACTCAGACCCGCAAGTGTCCCTATTTTCCAGGGACTGTCCCAGATTTACAGAAATCCGCCGGTCTCTGATTTGAACCCAGAATATCCCGCTTTCCTTAAGATGCCCCTATTTTCATTGGAGAAATGTTGGAGGGTATGGAGTTATGTGACCCCAGAGTCAGGGAGATAAGTAACTATACAGTCTTTAGAAAACACCTGAAGGCAGCCCTGTATAGGGAAGTTTAATGTTTTATTATGTTTTTATTTATTTTGGAAGCCACCCGGAGTGGCTGGGGCAACCTAGTCAGATGGGTGGGATATGAAGATGATGATTACTGAATAGGACGTCCCTAGTTTCATTGAAGAAATGTTGGTATGGAGTTATGCAACCTGGAGCCAAGGAGATAAGTAACTATACAACCTGTAGAAGGCAGCCCCATATAGGGAAGTTTTTTTTAAACGTTTAATGTTTTATTATGTTTTTTAAGGTTCCCATATTTCAAAAAGTAAAATTCGTGACACCACATGCAAAGTTGTTGAGCTTTTTTAAGGAAACCGCCAAGATTGTCAAACTTTCTTTTAGAAAACCACCAAAGTTTTAGAAATAAACCCAAAATTGTTGGGCTTTTTGGGGGATAACTAACCCCAAAATAGTGATTTTAAGCTTTTGGAGCGCTTTCTGCTGTTTTTTTCCATCCATCCATCCAAGTTTCCCCAGACATTTAGGCAAAATTCCTGCCCGACACCCATATTTACACCCCAAAAGCCTACTTCCTTATGTATGTTGGAAGCCGCCCAGAATGGCTGGGGCAACCCAGTCAAACGGATGGGGTATAAATAATAAAATGATGTTACCATGGACAATATGGTCAAATACAAAATACGGATTATGCAATAATATGCCGTTGAAAATGTTGACAATAGGACCCATGAAGGGGGGGGGGGGGAGGAGTCCAGAGATTCAGAAGTTAACCTCTAGATATGGAAAATGCATTTGGATTGTTATAACTTTATATTGTAAAATCAACTAAAAATGATTTAAACAAGATTAAGTTCATCCTGACGTTGAGTTTGAATTTCCTTCCTTGTAACTTGAATCCATTGGTTCGGGTCCTAGCCTCTAGAGCAAGCTAAACATTCCCAACTCCCTCAATTGTTTCTCTATGAGGCTTGGTTCCAAGACCCTTGATTTTCTTGGTTGCTCTCCTCTCTGCATGTTCCAGCTTATCAATATTCTTAAAGTGTGGTGCGCAGAACTGGACACCGCGACAGGTGTGGTTTTACCAAGGCGGAACAGAGCGGTACTATGACTTCCCTTGATCTTGACACTAGCTTTTTTTTAGCATTAGCATTAGCTTTTTTTTTTTTTTTTTTTTTTGCTGCTGCATCACACTGTTGACCAGGCTTCCTCAACCTCGGCCCTCCAGATGTTTTGAGACTACAATTCCCATCATCCCTGACCACTGGTCCTGCTAGCTAGGGATCAAGGGAGTTGTAGGCCAAAACATCTGGAGGGCTGAGGTTGAGGAAGCCTGCTGTTGACTCATATTAAGCTTGTCTACTAAGACTCCTAGATCCTTTTCACACATACTACTGGAAGCCAGATGGGCCTGTCTTATATTTCACAGAATTGTGGAATTGTAGACTTGGAAGTGACCATGAGGATCATCAAGTCCAGCTCCCTGCAATGAATGAATATTTTGCCCAACGTGGGGCTTGAACCCACAACCCTGAGATTAAAAGTTGCATGCTCTACATTTATGCAGCTGGTTCTTCCTGCCTAAAGATGTCCTGCAAGGCAGCAGGTCTGGATTTTCCTTGGGGGTTTATTTCCGAAAGCCGCCTAATGTATGAGTAGAGCTGCAAAGCAGTGGAGGTTTAGGATGCGAGTCTTCCTTCTAGATGAGTGCAAAACAACTACTACTACTTCTGTTTTTGTAATAATGTGAAGTTTCAATGAGCCTGTTGACAAGATCCATTAAAAAAGCAACAGTACCAAAAGGAAATATTGTGAAATTAAGGATTTGGGTGGGGGCAATTTATGGTCCTCCCTCAAAGCGCCAGCAAAGCTGGTGGGGCTTCCCTCTGGCTAAATTCTGCAAACATACGAGGTCACTCAGACCCGCAAGTGTCCCTATTTTCCAGGGACTGTCCCAGATTTACAGAAAATCCGTCCGGTCTCTGATTTGAACCCAGAATATCCCGCTTTCCTTAAGATGCCCCTATTTTCATTGGAGAAATGTTGGAGGGTATGGAGTTATGTGACCCCAGAGTCAGGGAGATAAGTAACTATACAGTCTTTAGAAAACACCTGAAGGCAGCCCTGTATAGGGAAGTTTAATGTTTTATTATGTTTTTATTTATTTTGGAAGCCACCCGGAGTGGCTGGGGCAACCTAGTCAGATGGGTGGGATATGAAGATGATGATTACTGAATAGGACGTCCCTAGTTTCATTGAAGAAATGTTGGTATGGAGTTATGCAACCTGGAGCCAAGGAGATAAGTAACTATACAACCTGTAGAAGGCAGCCCCATATAGGGAAGTTTTTTTTAAACGTTTAATGTTTTATTATGTTTTTAAGGTTCCCATATTTCAAAAGTAAAATTCGTGACACCACATGCAAAGTTGTTGAGCTTTTTTAAGGAAACCGCCAAGATTGTCAAACTTTCTTTTAGAAAACCACCAAAGTTTTAGAAATAAACCCAAAATTGTTGGGCTTTTTGGGGATAACTAACCCCAAAATAGTGATTTTAAGCTTTTGGAGCGCTTTCTGCTGTTTTTTCCATCCATCCATCCATCCAAGTTTCCCCAGACATTTAGGCAAAATTCCTGCCCGACACCCATATTTACACCCCAAAAGCCTACTTCCTTATGTATGTTGGAAGCCGCCCAGAATGGCTGGGGCAACCCAGTCAAACGGATGGGGTATAAATAATAAAATGATGTTACCATGGACAATATGGTCAAATACAAAATACGGATTATGCAATAATATGCCGTTGAAAATGTTGACAATAGGACCCATGAAGGGGGGGGGGGGAGGAGTCCAGAGATTCAGAGTAACCTCTAGATATGGAAATGCATTTGGATTGTTATAACTTTATATTTGTAAAATCAACTAAAAATGATTTAAACAAATAATAATTAGATGATGATGGAATAGGATGCCCCTATTTTCACGGGATAAATGTTGGAGGATATGCACACAGGTGTCACCCCCCCCATCCCATCCACACACCGAAGGTCTCTCACATTCCCCCCCCCCCCGTTCCTTCTGTTGTGACTCCAACCGCCATTCCAACGGCCGCAGAACGTTGCCTCCGTTCGAAACGAGCTCGTGGTCCCAGCTTGGCCAGAGAGCGAGCGAGAGAGCGAGAGAGAGAGAGGCGCGTCGCGGCCTTCCTCATCCCCTCACCATCCTCCTCCTCTCTCCTCTCCCGCCGGAGGAAAAAAACACCTCTCCCCGTCCCCCAATAAATACTTCAGGGAACACCGACGGAAAGCGGGGAAAAGAAGGGGATGTTGTGAGGAAACGTTGCACTGGGGCGCCTAGATCCGAGTCCTGCCCGGCTTTCCCGCCTCGTTTGTGCGCCTCGAGTCTCGCCGAGTTGACTCGGGTTGCCTCCTCAGGCCTTGCTGGTGGTGATTGTAGTTGTGTGTGTGTGTTTTTAACAACGACACACGCACACACACCCCCCGGTCCGCTTTAACTCAGTGCCTCAGTCTCTCAGCAGGTGAAGGAGAAGGGCGCCGATAGGAACCGCCGCCATTTTCTCTCAAAACGGGCAAACGGGCTTAGTCGGGTTTCGAAAAAACAGAGATGCCATTTCGGGTTTGGGAGCAGGAGGTAAGAGTCGCAGAAATGTTCCCAGGTTCAATTGCAAACACCCACCCACACCCATACCAGCCTGTTTTAAGAGCCTATGCTCTTAAACCACCAAAAATACTCATAATAATTAGAAATAAGTTCTTGGTTCATGAATTGGTTTAAACAAGAAGAAGAAGAAGAAAGGGGGGAAGAGGGGGACATTGACCACTAATAATGAAACATATGTTGTAGATATTTTTTCCACATTTATTATGCTATTTTTGGGATATACAGATGACATGAGAAAACTCGGTGCACTTATTTGTACAACATTTCTTGTTTATAAAACCCAGTAAATAATAATAATTAGAAATAAATTAGGCCCTGAGGAATAATTCATGCGTGGCTCTAAAACACACCTTTCTAAATTGGTGCGGTTTGCAAACAGCTTTGGGAGTGGCTACTTTATTATTATTATTATTATTTATTGCACTTATATACCGCCCTATACCCAGGGGTCTCAGGGTGGTTCACAGAATACATAAGAAAAATAAAAACAACAACAACCCAATAACCCTCTCCCCCCCCCATTGGCAGTACCTCTCTCAGGCAGCACTTGTCTGCCTGTTGAGGCCTAAGCTTGCCAAAAGAAGCCTTCAGAGACCTGCTTCTTAATTATGTGTTAGGGCGGCTAACAATAATAAAAACGAGTTGAATGAATACAACTTAAAAACAAGATTAAAATACAAATTAAAATATTGAAACATTAAAATATTAAAATGCAGCCTCATCACAGGAGAAAGGAAAAAGAAAAAGAAAGGGGGAGGGAATCAAATTGGCTCCAAGCCAAAGGCCAGGCGGAACAACTCAGTCTTACAGGCCCTGCGGAAAGAAATCAGATCCTGCAGGGCCCTGGTCTCGTGAGGCAGAGCGTTCCACCAGGCCAGAGCCAGTGCTGAAAAGGCCCTGGCTCTGGTTGAAGCTCATCTTACTTCCTTAGGGCCTGGGACCACTAGGGTGTTGCTATTTATGGACCTTGAGGCTCTCCGTGGGGCATACCGGGAGAGGCGGTCCCGTAGGTACGAGGGTCCTAGGCCGTGAAGGGCTTTAAAGGTCAAAACCAGCACCTTAAATCTGACCCTGCATTCCACCGGGAGTCAGTGAGGAGCCTCACTGCTGCATTCTGCACCCGCTGGAGTTTCTGGGACAGCTTCAGGGGCAGCCCCGTGTAGAGCGAATTACAGTAGTCAAGCCTGGAGGTGACCATCGCATGGATCACTGTGACCAGGTTGGGGCAAGAAAGGTAAGGGACCAACTGCTTGATGCAGCGAAGGTGGAAAAATGTCGCCTTGGCTGTTGCTGTAACCTGCGCCCCCATGGAAAGGGAAACATCAAGGATTACACCCAAACTCTTAACGGAAGGCAATGGCACTAATTGGGCCCCCGCATCCCCATGCCATCCCGACCCAGCCATAGGACCTCTGTCTTCAAAGGATTTAGTTTCAGTCAGCTCCCACGAAACCATGGGAGTGCTGTGGTTGCAGTCTTAGGTCAGATTTAGGCCTTGTACTGGGTTCTGCCTTGTCCGCTGATGACCAGTGTCCTAGGGGGCACATCCCCTCACCACCCCGGGTATTTCTGCCATTACCTTTCATCCTGAGGTCCTAGGCAGGTTGCTTAATAGAGTCTGAGGAGGTTAGAAGAGTTGCTTCTAAAATTTCTTTTTAAAATACTGTGAGGCAGTGGGGAAATGAACAAGGACAGGAAAATCCCTTGTATTGCATAGTAGTAGCATGTGACGGCTGAGGTCTAGCCCTGAGCATCAGCAAAGCAACTCCAGTACAGTGGTACCTAGGCTCTCGAACGTAATCCGTTCTGGAAGTCCACTCGACTTCCGAAATGTTCGAAAACCAAGGCGCAGCTTCTGATTAGCGCAGGCGCCCCAGAAACAATAGCTGGCAGCCGCATCTGACATTCATCTTCCGAAAAACGTTTGAAAATCAGAACCCTTAGTTCCGGGTTTTCAGCGTTCGGCAGCTGAAATGTTCGAGTTTCAGGGCTTCAAGAACCAAGGTTCCACTGTACTGTACATTGTTATGAACAGAAATTTAGCTACGATTTATGTAATAATATTTGTATTAGAAGAAGGAAAATGTGTAATATAGCATGGCTTGATTTCAATAAGGCTTCTGACAAGTTCTTCCATGATATTTTTGCCAGCGAGTTGGTACAATGTGGGCTAGATGATGTTTATATTAAGTGGATTTGTAGCTGGCAGGTGAGCCATACTAAAGGGTGCTAGCCAGTGGCTGCGCATCAACCTGAAGAAAATTGACTGATGCGATGTCCCTGGGTTGTGTCCTGGACCTGGTGTTGTTTAACACATTTATAAATTGCTTGGTTAAGGAGCAAATGGCACCAAACTGAATCGACGAACACCGACAGAAACAGGATCCAAGATGATATTGACATAATTGGAGACCTGGGCCAAAACTAACAAAATGAATTTCAATGTTATGTGTAAGTTCTGTATTTATATGGCAACTTAAAAAGTAGCTGCTGTTTGAACTTTTATGTTGGACCTTTGGAATTAGATCCACTGAATGCAAAACCAGCAAATTTGGTATGTGTTGGATTAGGTCAGTGTTCTTAAACTCAGTAAGTATGGCAGTACAGTGGTACCTCGGGTTAAGTACTTAATTTGTTCCGGAGGTCTGTTCTTAACCTGAAACTGTTCTTAACCTGAAGTACCACTTTAGCTAATGGGGCCTCCTGCTGCCGCTGTGCCGCCGGAGCACAATTTCTGTTCTCATCCTGAAGCAAAGTTCTTAATCCAAGGTACTATTTCTGGGCTAGCGGAGTCTGTAGCCTAAAGTGAATGTAACCTGAAGCATATGTAACCCGAGGTACCACTGTCCCTTATTTAACAGGCTTCCAGCTTAACTTACATAAAATGAATAATCATTTCTTGATATAAAATAGTTTAATTTTACTTTCAATTGCAGGAGACTTATATTGAAAGAAAAAGCTTGATATATGACATCTCTGTGTGTAAAGTTGAGGCCCGTGAAGTAATTGAAGTAAGTGGAATTATCACATCTGTTAAAAAATACTTATAAGCATTTTCATACTGATAAGTGGATTTCTTTTTATTCTTTAAAAGGATACCCAGAGGAGTTCATAATTATTACAAGTAATATGATTTATTGCTTAATACAAATAATTCTGTGTCATTTCTTTAACCAAATCCAGCCACTGCTTAGATTAGTTTAAAGGATTTTCTTTTTACTTTTGTTCAAGTGCTGTAAGACCTAGAGTCGTGTTCAGCACTACTGAGTGTTTAAAAGTGAAAATATTTATCACATTTTGTGAAGTGCACATTGTTGCAAATGATACAGAAAACTGATTTTGAATAAATATACAATTTCAAGCTTGATGATCATTTATAGCTTAACTAAGATAGAGATATATTACTGCTATGAATTTGATCCTCTGTTACTTCATAATTATCATGGTTTTCTGCAGTGAATTTGATATATAACAGTTGGCGAAGAAAAGCTGTGCAGTTGTGTGACTAAAGATTTTATAGAAAACATCTGACATAATTAGTTCAGCATGTGCACAGTATAAGCATAAGATTTTGAATTAAACTTTGAAGAAAAGTTATTTCATATATGTTACATATGAATCAAAGTCCATACAAATTAACTGTTTATAATATTGTAAAAGGTGTTTGGAATATAATTTCAGAACATTCAACAAGGAAATTGAATTTAGCTTCTGTTTAAAGGCTTGAATGAACTGTTCACACCTGTTAGTTTAAAACAGCTGCTTCTTTTATTATCAGTAAGCAGATGCAGAAAGTAATGGAATGTAATAAGATAATCCTCACTACAAAATATCCTCAGAGCATAATGATTCAGTATTTAAATGTAATGCAGCTGTAATTTACAATTGTAGAATTTATGCCTTTTTCTTTTTATTCAAAGTGCATATATAGTTGACAACCATTTCTCATGGGGGTTCTGTTCCTGGCTCCTGCATACACTGGCAGAGCGTGTATAAGCATATTCCTCCCTGCCCCCGTTCTGCCCTTTTAGTGATGCATTCAGTGACGTTTTTGGGTAATTTCCGGGTTTGGCACTATGCATGCTTGTGCAATTGCACGTCATTCAGACGTGTGTTAATCAGCCATTGCCTGTACTTGAAGTCTAAAAATGTAAGAAATCCTATTGAATTCTTTTTCATATCCTCCAGGCCTGATCCTGCATCTATTGTGCATATGACTTTGCTTATAAGTTCATGTGACAGGATAACTGACTGAATAACTGCTGCATTTTCTCTGTTTATTGTAGTTTTATGTTTCAAAGTAGGCTTTGCAACTATTGAGTCCCATCAGCGGAAGCCCTGTGCAAAGACTTTTGCCTGCCCAATAAGGTTCTCCCCTCCAGCCAATTGAATCTGTGGGGGTCTGGAGAACCCCTGGAATATACACTGTGGGTGGGAAAAGGGAGATTGTTTTGGTAAGTCAAAATACTTGTGCTGATTGAACATTCGGAAGAGCACAGTGTTGAATTCCTCCCAACAAACGGACATTTTAGAGAAAAAATATTATCCTAGAGTAGGAGCGAGCCAGAAAGATATGCTTTGACTGTGCACAGTATTCATGAAAATACATTCAAGGTGAAGCAAGATATTAAAGTGGTAGTCTGTGACCCAATCCAGATTTTGTCAAGAAGATAATAGGAAAGTGGGAAGGGCAGAAGGCACTTGCAAGGATGGATTTACAGATAGGAGAGACAGTGTTTAATCTGCAAATTCCACCCCAAGGTTAATTTTTCCTCAGCTGAGTTTATTTGGAGTTTTAGCATTTTCTTGGTGGTGGTGGGAATGTTGTAAAACTGTTTGAACAGCATTTGCACAGGGAAATAATGGAGCTGGGGTATATGTAAGCACTGCTTTCCAGCCAGAAAAATTCTTTCCTACAAGAAGGGCTTTTCAAATATATTTTACTGCCTGAGAACAGCAAATAGCACCACGCTAGTCAAGGTGTGTAGTACCTGAGGCGGCCAAGATAGCATGGCATCCATATCAGAAAAAACCCACAAGCTCCTCTCCCTAGGAATGAAAATACTTTAAGTAACATTTTGTTGCTTTTTCATGACTTCTGAATTCAATCGATAAAGGGAGCAACCTTATTCTGTCTAATGGTAACACTAGCCCTGTACCCCCCAGCAGTAGCATTACCATGGAAATACAAGTTAGAAACTCAGTCTAAGCAAAGCTAGAAGGAAATACAAAGTAGAAGTGGAATGGAGTAGCCAAGTACCGTAGTTAAATAATTTCATTTTGCTCTGCATGTTGTATATTGACTTGAAGTCCAATCCTTAACATATTATGTGAAGATACACTTCTGTTATTGAATAAATTTGTTGATTAGCTCTGGATCCAAGTGAGTGTGTTTGGAAATAAGGATTGTGTCAAAAAAAATTTATATACTATACAAGTAACAATGGCCTATTATATTAGTATATTTATGGCATGCCAATCACTGTTCCTCTGGTATGGGAACCTCAGCCAAACAACAGAGGCTTTCTCCATGCTAGTGTTGCTTCAGATTTAGGAAAGGATGATGTTTTTTTTGGCGTGGAACTGGAGTAGATGCATTTTAGGCTTTTCCCATACGGTTCAGGCTACATGTCTGATGTTATCAGAGTATGATGAAAGGTAACTAATGCTGTTAAGATATAACTGCAGGCACATTTGATTTACTTTGGCTTCATTATGGCTTGAGGTGGAAAAAGGTTTTGTTCCATAATTAAGAGGGATGAACACTATTGTACTCCCCTTATAAACTGCAGGTGGGGGACCTGGTGGCAGATATTTTTTTCTTACTAGGGAATTGCCTCATACTGTGACACCATGTTTAGCTTCCTGGAGTCAACATGCATTTCATTTCACAGTGTCCCTAGGAAAATGACATTGTCTAGAGCAGGCATAGGCAAACTTGGCCCTCCAGATGTTTTTGGGACTACAACTCCCATGATCCCTAGCTAACGGGACCAGTGGTCAGGGGTGATGGGAATTGTAGTCCCAGAACATCTGGTGGGCCGAGTTTGCCTATGCCTGGTCTAGAGATGTCTTAATATAAAAAAGAAAGATGATCTCTCCCCCCCCCCCCAGATACCACTCATCCTTAGCATTGTGAGAATGCAGTGATTAACTTGGATTGCTTGAAAAGAGGATCCAGAGAAGTGTGTACAGAATTCAGCTTGCAGGGTGAGGATTTTGTGGCTCCTCTCCCTTCATAGCCCTCTGCACTTACTAAAACCCATTCCTGTGGGCCAAGAAACCCTCTGCAACAGTGAGAGATGGAGCATGGGGAGTTTAAGTAGGATGAGGAAATAAGAATTCAGTGGAGCTTCCTTGTACAAGCAGAAGTATATTTCCTTTTGTACAATACATCCTTGGATTGCTTTAAGCACTGAATTACATAACTTTCATTTGTCACTATTGTCTGTTCATTTGTCACGACAATCTTATCAGGTATAATGTATTTAGACTGTTATGTCGGCTACATTATAACTGAATGTAATTTAAGCATAAAGTGTTGACGTTATATTATAAATTGAATTAGGTATTCATTAGCATTGCATTAAGAACCTTTGTATGAACATGCAATCATAATTTACTTATAAAACAGCATTTATTCATTTTAATTTGGGATATTGGCAGATATTTTCATATTTTAAGTAGCGTTGTTAATGAAATGTCATGCAACTGTGAAGCATTATTAAGTCATCACTCAGAACAGAATAGAAGCATAGTAGTTGAGTGTTGTAACTTACGTAGGAGATTAGTTTCCGGAAACATAGAGACTAATGAACATGGCAGCTGCATTATTAAAATATTGTACTCCAGCCCAGAACAGTTTCTTAATTCATGCATACAGGAATTTAACATTAATTCATTCACTGTGTTTTTTGAGTCATCTATCTTCCATGTTTTTAGCAAATTGTGAGCGGAAGCCCTTGCCTGTGAGGAACTAACATCTGGCTGCTTCAGCCATTTCCAGGCCAGGAGATTCAGCTGCAGAGTAAAAATTGAAATGCTAGAGAACTGCTTCTAACACCATTGCTCCCCCAAGCTCCTTTTGCAGCTGCCAGCAGATGCAGAAGGCAAGGAGACATCAGCAGTAGCCCAGTGACAAAATCCCTGGCCTGTCTGCTTCTGTAGACATATCCAGGCTGGGAGTTTCAGCTGCAGAGTCTTAGTTAGAATATCAGAGGGCAAGGGGAAGACTTCTAACACCATGGCTCTCCATCACATTCTGCATCTACCACCAGAACCAGTAGCTCAGCAGTGGCCCAGTGGGAAAGCCCTGGCTTGTTAATTATTTTCATCCATCCGCTTTGGTACCATAGTAGAAAAGGTGCTTTCCTGTGACTTAACTAGCTGTGCAACACACAGCCAAGTCCTTTGAGCACAGTGGACAGGCAGAATCATATGGGAGGGCACAATATTCAAATATCCTGATCCCGTACTATTTAGGACTTTATAGGTAAGAAGCTGCACTTTAAATTGTGCCAGGAAATTAATTGGAAGCCATTGTTGATGCAATCAGGAAAGTAGAAAAGAGAGCAATTTGGCCACTCCATTTTGCAGTGACTAAAATTTCTAAATTCTTTTCAAGGGTTACTCTATGTAGAGTGTATTACAGTAATCCAGTTGGGTGTGACAAAGGCATGCATGGCAGTGGCAATATCTGCTTTATCACAGTCAAAGCTCTACAAAAGCACCTTCCTAGCTATGGCAGCCACCTGGGAATCCAGCAGCAATGGCAGATACAGAAACACCCCCAAACTACAAACCCTGGTTTTCCAAATGGAGTGCAGCCCCATTCAAGACAGAACAAATTCCCACTTTAGTTTCAGCTCTCCTGCTGGCTAACAGCACCTCTATCCTTTCTGATTTAAAGCTGAATTTATAAACTTGATCCAATCTGTGACGGCACAACTGCACCCTTATAACACTTCAAAACCTCCACTGCTTCCTTGTCACTTGATGGAAAAGACCTATA